GGTTTCTGGTTCGATTCCCGGGTCGAGCAAAGTATTACTAGGTTTTTTTTTAAAAAATCTCAGTAGTCGGAGTCAGGAATTGTGCCCGTTATATGGCAATAGGCCAACTCCCTATTTCTTGGGACTCATAATTCCTAAATAGTTAAAAGTGGGTGTTACATTGTGCAGTGGCATTAAGCGCCGTAATGTGCACCTCTACCCCGAAGGGGTAGGCTTCGGGGATAAAAGGAGTCATGTTATGTTATGAAATAATACTACTCATTAAAATATTTATTTAAATATACTTTTATACTGTCATGAGTATTTCTGACTTAAAACGCTTACATACTAAATATGGAATTTAAAGATAGACGGGTGCATCCCGATCCTAATTAACCGATACACCTTTTCTTTCAGGTGCCATCATAAACAAAACAATAACCAAAATCCCAAAATGACACAAAGTGACGTAACATGAGCAAGAGAGCAAAAAGGAAAAATCAATTTCCATTCCTCCCAATTTCGTGAAAGGTTTAGTGTTGCAAGTCGTCCATTTTCCGAACTCCCACGCAATAACTGTCTATGTTCGTCATTGTCACGTTGGGTTCAAACTTCGCAAAGTGAGAGAGGTTACAGAGTTTAGGAGCCGGGTTGGTCCTTCGTAATTTTTTGGTCCTTTTACGCCCTTTAGCTTAAGATTTGTTAGCGCATAAAATAGTGCGGACGAAAAGGGTGGCTATAAGGAAAAGTGTAGGAAATTATTTATTGTGAAATGCGATTGCTGGGAAATGGATTGTTCTTTTATGTTTGTGATTTGTTGTATCCGTAACTATTATTATATTGATCACAACTCGATCTTGACATATTTTTTATGGCATAAGCCGGTAAACGAGCAGACGGATCACCTGATGGTAAGCAATCGGCGCCGCCCATGGACATCCGAAACACCAAGGCGTTACAAGCGCGTTACCGGCCTTTTGGGAATTGGGAATTTGAGGGTTGTGGAGGATTCGGGGATTCGGGAGACTAGGGAGGGGGATAATTGGGCCTTCGGTAACCTTACTCACACGACGAAACAATGCAAGCGTTGTTTCACGTTAGTTTTCTGTGAGGCCATGGTATCACTCCGGTCGAGCCGGCCCATTCGTGCCGAAGCATGGCTCTCCCACACTTAAGTACTACTTTTTTCTGCCTTAAGTACCTATGTATTGACAAAAATAAGTATTTAGTTATGCTGCGTTACATAAAATTGTTATCGCTTTCAAAATCAAACACATTAAGTTTGACACAATGATAAATGACGACATAAAATCGTACATCGCACAAGGACCCGGAAGGAAGGAACCCGAGACCCCTTGCCGTGGCAGTCGCACTTGCGACCACTTGGCCAACCAACGTACATACAACCTGTTGGGCAGGCAGCTCGATCCACGATCACCTCGCACATCGGAGGGTCCTTTTTTCCGATCTTATGGAACTTTACCTTCTATTGCTTAAAAACCCTAATTAATATACTGTTCGATTACCACAGTAACTACAGTCATAGGCTCATTCCCTGTTACATAGGACTCATAACATAAATAGTTCAATTCAATTCAAAATTCAATTAAAAAATGAAGTCCATTTTCCCTTGGTCACAGGATCACGCGTGTATGGCTGAACCGATTTCACTAGTTCTTTTTTTGTTGTATTTGTTATTATTAGGAGAAGGTTGTTAACCTAATAGATCCTAATAGATAAACTCCTCCTAATAGATAGAATAGACAGGAAAAAACTGAAAATCTTACGGGAACGGGAGAAAACGGGATTGCGCGCATGAAGTCGCGGGCAGAACCTAGTACATAATAATTCTCCTTTCAGGTATAAAAGGAGTAAGTGACGTTCTATCAGAAATACTTTCCACTATTATATCACATGGTAAATATGATAAAAACCACATGATAGTACTCAGGTAGTTATTTTTATGACAATAAACACATACTTACATTCTAGATTGCCTCGTGCAACCATGACTTAAATATTTGTTCAGAGTTTCATTGAGTTAACCACGTGATCTGTTCATGAATAAAATTTCCATTTAACTTGGTAAAACTATGTACGTTTGGACTTCGTTACGACATATCGAGACATTGAAGAAAATAAGACAGGGTACATTCTTTCTCCTGGCTTTTACCCAACTAGGTTCGGGTTGGGGATCCAATTTTGTAAAAGACGGTTTCACATGATGTAGTTTTTCGAATTTTGGATATTCCTAAACCAGTAATCGTTATTTACGTTATGTAAACGCTAATAGGACCACCCGTTGGCCAGCCCGTATTATGGTTCCTGCCTTTTTGGTATAGGTATGGAGCGACACTAATTTTAGCAGGTAAGGTTAGTATCTTACTAATCTCCTTGCAATTATTAATCATTACGATGTCAAAAACCTTTAAAATAAATGTTTTCTCGACAATTTGAACCTGAAATTTATTACTCGCTTGCAACCCATGTAATGTAATTTATACATATAAAATAATGTCGTTTTAGTTATTACACTATTTATTACTCAAGAACGACTACATCGATTTGGCTGTAAATTGGTAAAGCTTAGAACTAGGAGACGGGCCTAGAATACTTTTATCCAAGGATTTCCCGAAAATCCCGCGGGAACGGAAAATACGGGATTCCGCATATAAAGTCACGGACAGAAGCTAGTATGAAATAAAAACTGTTCCATTAAATAATATTTTCCAACATAATTGAATATGCCGTAAAAGATGATGCATTTTCGCGAGGAGAAAATGAAGCCGGCTTTTTCTTGAGTAGGTTACCTGTTATTAGATGAAACAATATTATGATACATTTTATAACTAAAAGCAACCACGATGGCTTCTTCTTCATAACAATACAGCGTAATAAACTATTATAGAAAAACTATTTTTCATAATAAATGAGTATTTTATTTATTTATTTATTTATGGATTGGAAAACCAACAGCTACACATAGGAAACAAACAGATAACATAATAACACCAGAGAGCCAATTATAGGTTTTCACGGACAGATTTCACATTATTCAATTAAAAAGAAAAAAAAACACTCACAGTCCAAACAAATACATCGTTTAGGGAAAGAAAACTAATAAAAAAAAAACAACAAGAGCATGTACCAACTAAAAATAAAAAACATAAAAATTAAACACACACCAACCATACTACCAACAATATTATAATTTTCCTTAGAATGATCCTATTAGTAATGTTTTTTACTATTATAGGGTTTTATTTAGCTTACCCCGTTTTTTTTTTGTTAGTTTGGGAGTCTTCGGTAATTGGAATTTTACTCCCTTTCCTGATGACGTCATGATGACAGATCGATCTTTTATTTGGCGTACACACTTAATCTTGATTACCATACAATATTATCAACCTTTTTCCACAACTAGATACCTCCGTCATGGATTTCAAATGTAAGGGCTTGATTTGTAGAATAGAGTTAGTTAGCTACTTGTTTAAACATAAATTATTGTTTGAATTTTAATTATAAAAATTGTGTGGTTGCAATCATGAAGCAAGCTTAAGTGGGGCAGAGCCATGCTTCGACACGAATGGGCCGGCTCGACAGGAGCGATACCACGGCCTCACAGAAAATCGACGTGAAGCAACGCTTGCGTTGTAGTTCGTCGTGTGATTGAGGTTACCGGAGGCCTATTCAAAGACTCCCCAATCCCCGAATCCCACACAATCCTAAGATTCCCAAAAGGCTGGTAACGAATGTATAACGCCTCTGGTGTTTCAGGTATGGATGGCGTTGATTGCTTACCGTCAGGTGATCCGTTCGCTCTGTCTCTGTCTCTGTTTGTCTGGTTGCAATACATTCGTCGCGTCGGGAGCCACGTACGACGATTTTGATTTATAGGCACCTAAAATGACTTGAAACTAGTCAAGTCAAGTTTTAAAATGATGCAGTTAAGTAATACCTTGGCAGTCTCATTGTTCGAGTGTTCGAAAATATTCCTATCGAGCAAGGGTTCTCAGTTTCGGTTGTTGGTTTTATTCTCGGTTTTTCTAAAATTCGGTATTATAAGTACTTACAGTTCGTTGCCATCTCGAGACCTTACTACCTAAACTTGTTATTTCGACACTCGACAGCCAAATTGATCAATCAGTCAAGTTTTACTATAATTACCATAAGAACGCAGTTATAAATAAACTTTTAATTATAATTATAACATATAGTAAACAAAATTATCTTTTGACGATAATAATATTCAAACATCATTTTCATTGCCACCTTGCATCATAGACGAGATTTATTTGATAAAACACAAGACAACGTAAACATGTGATAGAATAAGAATGTATGTTGATTTGTCATTATAAAAAATCATAGGTAATGTGGGATAATTAAGTGTGGGAGAGCCATGCTTCGGCACGAATGGGCCGGCTCGACCGGAGTGATACTACGGCCTCATAGAAGTCCGACGTGAAACAACACTTGCGTTGTGTTTCATCGTGTGAGTGAGGTTACCAAAGGCCCAATTACCGCCCTCCCGAATCCCCAACAATCCTCAAATACCTAATCCCCAAAAGCAAAAGTCCGGTAACGCACTTGTAACGCCTCTGGTGTTTAATGTGTACATGGGCGGAGCGGATTGCTTACCATCAGGTGATCCGTCTGCTCGTTTACCAGCTATTTCCATAAATAAAATATCTTGATATTATGGCGATTCAAACTGCATTATGCCATGCATTGCAAATGCATTACATGCCTAAATACAATTTTAAGATAGGCAGGCTTTTTTGATTTTCTAATTGCAAAGAAACAGTACAGTTACAGTTAAAAATGGCATTTTTTTTTAATATTAACCAATACGGAATTCCTTTTAAAAAATAAATATCACTTTAAGTACACATCACACTGAAAGTCGGCATATCAATTAATCGGTTACACGAGTAGTAAAATATAATAAACTAAATAAGCTACACCAAATGCTTTAGTTAGTATTAAAACAAGACCAATAAAAGACGAGATAAAAAGACTTCTGTTTACATCATAACGACAGTTGCACACGAATTATGTCGGACGAACCATTACAGTTCTTGCCCGTAGAAAGATGGGGAGACCTACAGAGTGTCTTCAGAAAAGACTGGACAAGAGGAGTGTCTGCTTGTGCTGTATTGGACACGCAAAGACGATGGCTAGCCCAAGGGATGGAGTCCAATTTAAAAATCTATTGCCCCTATGGCGATATGCAGAATGGGATGGTTGCGTTTAATGAAAAGGTAGATAAACATTTTTATTTTTTTTTTTCATGCTAAAATTACCTCAACTATTAATAATAATATGAAATTTTTCTTCATTTTTAGACCATTTTAAGTTTATTGTGTTACCTGCCATCTAGTGATGTTCATGCACACTAAATTCTATGCTGCTTAACTACGCTTTACGTAGATGGCGCTTAGTTGCGAACACATTAAAATGGGAGCTCCATAAATATTTTGTTTTTATTAAAGCAATTCTTTCTATTAAATCCACTAAAGGACGAAATAAATAGGTTTTATAATTAATTTAATATCTTTCACAGGATTCATATTACGAAATAATAATTCAGTGTCCGAGTGATGACACGAGCAAATTAGCAACTGCATTGAAAACAACCAAACTGATTGATTGGAAGAAATCTGTCAAGGTACCGTTTGCACCACAGAATGTGATAAACCTCATCAATGAAATCATGGATGATGTTAATGTGGAGGTGGAAGAGGTGTTTCCCTACGACACTCATATCTTGGACACAACTGAACTGTACAAGGATGTTAAGTAAGTTTATTTTTGACGGACAGATCCATTTTAACTTCTGATGTGCACATCAAAATGATGATGACTATCTTGGTAGCCTGAAGGTTAAGATTGCTTTTCATGCATGAGAGTGCGAATTTGGAACCTGACAGGTACTAATGCAAATTCAATATCAACAGCCTATATAAGTGACTACTGGTCACTGCTGACCAAAGGCCTCTTCTCACATGGAGACGGTTTAACCATTAATAGCAAACACTAGCTGCTCGACTAAAATATTAGCATAGTGCGAACAAGGCATAAGACCTGCACTACAGTAGATCTCAATACCTATAATTATCATTATATTGACCCAAGCTCTCTTCCAATAGGGTAGATGCCTAATTTATATTTTAATGTCCGTCTGGTAGGTTATTTTAAATTATTAGGCACGTATTTTTTATTTTCTTACAGAAACGAATACTTTCGACGATATATTGATTTCAAAATGTCACGTGACGTCACTTCTATGTACTTTAATACATAGAAATTACATTTTAGCCCCCACTCCTAAACTTTGATTCGTTTTATCTAAGTATTGTTTAATTAATAATATGACAAAGTAAAAAATACGTATCTAATATTGTTTGATTATCTAACTTACGGACTAATTATATTTTTAATTTTCATACCCTATCATCATCCCAATTCCAGGATACCAGAAGGCGTAACCTTCAAACACTTGACAACCGAACATCTAAACCTGATCGACTCCACGTGGCCTTATAACTACCCTTCATCAGACACATACTTCGAGTTCCTTATCAACCTGAAGTACGGTTATGGACTATACCTGAACAACACTTTGATAACTTGGGTCCTGATTACTGAAGCTGGGACTTTGTTACACTTATATACTGTTGAAGAACACAGGAGAAAAGGGTATGCTGAGGTGCTTTTGAAGCTGGTCAGCAATGATCTACTGAAGGATGGGAGAGTCGTCATTGCGTACTGTGTCCCTGATAATTATAATGCGAGCAAGCTGTATACTAAGTCAGGTTTCGTAGCTGTTGAGGATGTTACATGGGTTTATTTAAGAAGCAAATAAACATTTATTTTTAAAATCTATGTTTTAATTTTTGCTGTGTTTAAAAATTTATCTATCTCGTTCCTCCTCTTCATTTTATTCACTAGGAATATAAGAATGACTGCATAGGTGTTGCGGTGGCTGGGCAACCGGCTGCCACGCAATGTGTCGCAGATTCGATCCCGATACGCAACAACTCTTTGTGTGATCCTCATATTCTTGTTGCGGGTCTAAGTGTCATGTGTATGTGAACTTATATGTTTTTAAAAACTACAACGACACAGGAGAAAATTCAATCCTATTGTAAAGAAAGAAAGATTACTACATATTCTTTGTAGGTGTCACAATGTATGTATGTAGTTAGGTATAGATAGTACTTTCCTGTAGTGCTAGAATTTCAGATACTGAACTCTATCTTCACTTGTCCTCCCAAACCATAGAAATGTATTATACATATTTATACCGAAAGAAAGTTTTATGATGAAGTTGATTTAATTTCAAAATTCATTACATACATAACATAACATCACGCCTTTTATCCCCGAAGGGGTAGGCAGAGGTGCACATTATACCACTGTACAATGTAACACCCACTTTTCACTATTTATGTTATAAGTCCCGTGTAATAGGGGTGAGCCTATTGCCATATACCGGGCACAATTCCAGACTCCGTGCTATTACTTAGAATATTTAAAACCCAGTAATGCTTTGCCCGACCCGGGAATCGAATATTATCCCAATAATAAAATATACAACAATATTTCCAAGCAATAGTTTCACAGCGCTACCTACCTATTCGTCCTAAATAGACCCTACATAATCGGGGTGTACCACAAACGTCTGCCTATAACATGGGTCATCCCCGTAGACCACAGCGGCCATTTTGGAATGAAAGGGTACAGAACCCCTACATCAGTGGACGGTTTGATGACCGCAGTAGAATAACTTTTGTACCAACGAGTAAATAATAAACATTATCATTCAAATTCCACATAGGATTCGATTTCCCATGTCATCATGTTCAGGGTTTCGTACGTCTAAACCTTTATTAATAATCTATACATATAATAAAATTGTAGAAAAGTGCTGTCTGTACATTGAAAATAAAAATAAAAAAAAATAGCAGGGGCTATTGTTATGTCGATGTCGAACCCAAAAATGTAACTAACTTTTTTTTTGTCTGTTTGTCTGTTTGTCTGTTCACGCTAATCTCAGAAATGGCTTATAAATATATATATATTTAACAGGGTGCGGAAAAGGTGATAGTGGTTTTATTCCTCAGATTCCTCTCATTCCAAAAAATTTTCCGTTTAATTTTAAACGAATTCAGTTTCCAGTGAGCCTATGTTTCGCCATGACAATTAATAAAGCTCAAGGTCAGACTCTAAAAGTTGTGGGTATAGATCTAAGTATCAGCTGTTTTTCGCACGGTCAATTGTATGTGGCTCTGTCCCGTGTTAGCAATCCCAGCAGCCTGTATGCTTTCACCCCCGATGGCCATACGTCTAATATTGTATATAGAGAAGTATTACAGTAAAGTAGGTTTTTTAGCTACCCAAAATGACTGTGATTATGATCCAAAAAAAAAATAAAAATAAGTATATATTTAAAAAAAAAAACGCTGCTCATAGTCACTATTCTACGCGAACGAAGTCGCGGGCACAGCTAGTTATTACTAAAATTAGAGACAGGAGTTGTACCTGCCATGTCATTGTAGTGTCAGCAGAGTAAAGTACAGTGAGGGTCAAATCCGCCTGATCATTTTAAAATTTTATTGCTTGAATCTAACAAAATCATCAAGCAATATCCTATAAACGTCTCAACTAATTAGTGTAATCCCTTAGTCAGTTGTTTGTTTAATTTTGTTTGACTATCTGCGCTGGCATCGCGTCGCCCTGCCGGGCTACAGAGCGGATCTCATGATGTGCAAGCAAATATTAACTTAGTGGTGGTCAGTGAACAGGCAAATGTGTCCCCTATTGTACATACGTATATGTTTCTTTTCTTGTTTCTTTTCTATAACTTCCCTTCCCAAAAGTGTTTTAAGAACCGACTTAACATATAGAAGTGAAATTAAGAATTAAAACTTAACAAAGAGACATTAAATTACATGATAAACTCAAAACTAACATTTACTCTTCTTACAATGGATCAACAAACTGCTTATCAATGCATTAGCTGTAGCTTAAGATAAACCTATATACCTTTCAATGAACAATAGACTTTAAGCCTGTATGCTACGTTAGGTTGGATAACACGATTGGTGCAGTAGCTAGGTAAGACCGTCTGCTATGAAGTATGAAGCTGTACGCAGGCTCGATTCCTATACAAAAATGTGTGTGTGTGTGTGAGACTGTGAGAATTTTGGTATGATATATGTACCTATGTGTATTTGGGTCAACATATCAAAAATGTGAATGTTGCGTTGTATTTCGCCGTGTGAGTGAGGTTACCGGAGGCCTAATTACCCCCCGTACCCGTCCCCAATCTTCCCAATCCCTGAATCCCTAACAATGCTCAAATTCCTAATCACGAAAATACCGGTAACGCACTTGTAGCACCTCTGGTGTTCCGAGTCCGGTGTGTTCATGGGCGACGCCGATTGCTTACCATCAGGTGATCCGATCAGGACTGCTCGTTTACCGGCCTATACCATAAAAAATAACCCACTAACATTCGACCAATATTAACAATAATTGACATAATAATACTGATGTCGTAATTTATTTAAATGTTATTAAAATTATCTGAAACGTACGACTGTATGGCTCTTTTATCTTATCATGTTTGTGCGATTGTTTAAGTAGGTACCTACATCATGCTGGTATAGAAGTCACTGTACTAATCTACCCAGACGTCCTTGTTAAATGTTACTGGTAACACCGTGTGCACTATCTATATGTATGTGTTTCTTTTGTATGTAGGTCTCAAAGTGGATCACACTTATATTATTTTGTTTGTTTGGATATTTGGATGCTTATTATCCCGATTAAATGCTCCCATGGGAGAAAACAGGAATCATATTCACCGCAGACGAAGTTGCGGGCAACGGGTAGTATTAAAAAAACAATCGAATTATTTTATCGGTTAAGACAAAGAAGCTGCAAGCTAGGCTGTTTGCCATGGACTCCAGTTAGTTACTATTTCTCCAAAGACCTTTTATATTAATTATTTTGTGTTGAAACAATTAGTGCTACAAACATATCTCTTCATCACCATCTTCACTTACGGGGCTCCGGCCCGACGTGCAGGAGAAGGAACGGGGTGGTTTTTAGTCAGTAAGAGTCTGACACTCCCTCCCGCCTCACCCAAGCGGGAGCAGTCATTCGATGATTTTCCCCCTTAAAAAAATAAAAAAGACACTGTAGATATTATCTATAACAGAATTATCTTCTCCAGAGATATAGGCCCTAAAATAAAGTACGGTAGGTGAAATGACTTAGAATTAAAAAAATTGAGAGAGCTCTGATAGTTACCTTGTAGTTGTGCTTATCCAAAGGATAAGGCTTTGAAAAAGGATAATTACTGAGCATAAAACCGCATAAAACGTAAAACAATCAGCAAATATAAAACCAAATAAAAATAAGCAACGTCGGACACAATAACTAGTATTAAAACGAGAGCAATAAACACTCAGATATAAGGACAACTTTATTTATAGTACTCTAACATTTGCACGGGAATAATGTCACAAGAACCATTGCAATATTTGCCTCCGGAGAGATGGGACGAGCTTCAAAATGTCTTCAGAAAAGACTGGACAAGAGGAGTTTCTGGATACACAGTGATAGATAATCAGAGGAGATGGATAGCGAAAGGGATTAAATACGATATGCGAATCTATTGCCCTTTTGGTGAGGTCCAAAATGGAATGGTGGCGTTAAACGAGAAGGTATTGGTATACCGTTTTGTAGAGGTATTGTTTGTCGTGGAAGATTTTCGTGGTTGGTGTTGTGAAAGTTTATCATGTTTTGTTTTTATTATTTGTTAATAAGTGATGAACTTGAGTTGCTAACTGACTTATGACGATGACATTGTTTTGTGTTCCAATTGAGTAATTGACCATACAGTGTTTAACCGGCTCCAAAAAAGATAAGGCCTATATGTTGCTTTTGTTGTATTAGTCATCATCATCATCCTCATAACATCACGCCTTTTATCCTCGAAAAGGTAGGCAGGGGTGCACATTATACCAATGTACAATATAACACCCACTTTTCACTATTTAGGTTATGAGTCCCATATAATAGAGGGTGAGCCTATTGCCATATACCGGGCACATTTCCAGACTCCGTGCTACTACTGAGATTTTTTTTAAAAAACCCAATAGGACTTTGCCAGACCCGGGAATCGAACCCGAGACCCCTTGCCCGGTAGTCGCACTTGCGACCGCTCGGCCAACAAGGCAGTTGTGTTAGGTACTGGTAATTAATGTTACTATGGATATATGCATCATGGACAGAAATGGTGAGGTTGTGACATCTTTGTCTTTTTTACAGCATTCATTCTACGAAATAATAATTCAGTGTCCGAATGACGATACAAGTAAACTAGCAGCTGCATTGAAAACTACCAAATTAATAGACTGGACGAGAGCTATCAAGGTGCCATTTGCTCCGTACCATGTGATCAATATGCTGAAAGAAGTCGTTGATGATGTTAATGTGGAGATAGAACTCATTTTACCTTCGGATACGTTTATGTTGGATGCTCAAACATTGTATGATATCAGGTAAGAAGTATATTAGTTAACTAGCTAGAGGTACTTATCATGTTGTGTTTTTATTATTTGTTAATAAGTGATGAACTTGAGTTGCTAACTGACTTATGACGATGACATTGTTTTGTGTTCCAATTGAGTAATTGACCATACAGTGTTTAACCGGCTCCAAAAAAGATAAGGCCTATATGTTGCTTTTGTTGTATTAGTCATCATCATCATCCTCATAACATCACGCCTTTTATCCTCGAAAAGGTAGGCAGGGGTGCACATTATACCAATGTACAATATAACACCCACTTTTCACTATTTAGGTTATGAGTCCCATATAATAGAGGGTGAGTCTATTCAAGTCTATTGCCATATACCGAGCACAATTTCAGACTCCGTGCTACTACTGAGATTAAAAAAAACAGTAATAGGTACTTTGCCCGTCCCTGGAATCGAACCCGAGACCCTTTGCCCGGCTGTCGCACTTACGGCCAACGAGGCAGTCAATTCACAAATTAAGATAGATACATACATAAATTCACGCCTGTCTCCCATGGAGGTAGGCAGAGACTAGGGAACGCCAATTACTACGATTCCTACATACCTCTTTCGCTTCATCAACAGTCATCAATCTTTTCATGCATGCTCGTCGGTTAAGGGTACTTTTAATCACAAATTAGTTATACAAATTTATACGATACAATACGTTCATCTATTATGACTCATAATATCGTAACTAGTAAAAAGTTGGGTGTAAAACCGCTTGACGCTAAACGTACTTATTTTATTTCATTCCAATTTCAGCTTACCCGACGGCATAACCTTCAAATTCCTGACAAATGAGTACTTAGACCTGGTGGACTCTACGTGGCCTCATCGCTACCCTACATCAGCATCTTACTTCGAACTCCTCATTAATTTGAAGTGTGGTTACGGCCTTTATAATGACAAGACCTTACTAGCATGGGTCCTTATTAACGAATCAGGGAACCTGTTACACCTATATACTGCTGAAAGTCATAGACAGAAAGGCTATGCAGAACTGCTATTGAAATTAGTAAGTAATGAACTGATTAAAGAAGGAAGAATTGTGAACGCATATTGTCTGCTAGATAACTACAGCGCATGTAAGCTGTATAAAAAGGCAAGGTTTTGTAATGCTGGAGAAATTGCATGGGTTTATTTGAAGCCAAAATAAAATGGAGTTTTGAGAGTTTGTTGTCGTTTTTAACTCGTCGAGTACCGGTTTTGTAGACACAATTATAGAACAATAGGTTGCGGTCACCGGTGACCGCTTGGTGTTTGACAGTTTAATTGGTTTAAAAATTGACATTCTTCCTTCTGGTTAGCTAGTCCATTGTCTTTAATCTTGGTGACATAATTTCTATTCAAAGAACAGAGAAAAACAGCTGCTCTTCGTCTTTATCTTGTCCTTATCCCAAGCAATATCGAGAGGCCCAGAACGTCCCATTTTTCTCACCTAAGACCTTTAAATTGACAACACAATCTTAAACTGTCAAACACCAAGCGGTCACCGGTGACCGCAACCTATTGTTCTATAATTGTGTCTACAAAACCGGTACTTGACGAGTTAAATCAAGCCACTAATCATAAAACGAACACAGCAACCATAAATTAATCAATAAACATTACAATAATAAGCTTCCATCAGCATTTTATTGTTTTGTTACGACTTTTACGTAACCGAATTACGTGAATAGTGTAATCATTCACTGAATTACTCTGAATTAACATAATAATATGTTTCTTTATGTTAATAATGTGGTAGGCGCAAGATTTAGTGGCATTTTATACAGATTCTTGTATATAAAGATATGTCTAATGGGTGCGATGTGTGCTCAATAGTTTTTTAGAACTGTATGGCTACTGTTAGTATCGTTTTGTGCTACTTTTTGAAGTTATGTCACTTAAAATAGGCTTTAAAGACAAGTGTCATCATCATCGCTAGGTGGAGTACATCAGTGTATGATTAAAGGTTCTTGAAAGAAGGTTTACTGTAATACACAGACTAAGTTTGTGCTATTACTGAAAATTTTCGAAAATCACACAAATATTACTTGACCTGTCTCCAATTCGACAACTTTTAAAGGCCTTCTAATACTTTTAAAGAATAAGCCAACCGGTCGTACTCATCACTCGACCAACGAAACGGCTAGTAGATATATGCTGGAATACTGAAACGCTACTCAATTTTAAGTCGTGCTTAAATATCGTGCTGTCTCTGTCATTTTGCAAAGAATTTGTAGAGACAGAACTATGTTTAAGCGCGACTTAAATTTGAGTGACGTTTCAGTATTCGGTCAATAGATACGTATATAAAAAAATAAATAAAACAAAACACACAAAGAAAACTCAAAGAAAATTCAGAACAAGAAGACAAGAACAACACGCTTACGTCATAAGAAAACGAACGTCATTCTACTTTCTAAGCACCTCTGTCTACCCACGTGCATAATTAACAAGACCTCTGCCCTACACGATTACGTCATCGACATTTACGACAATATCGCCTAATTGTGTCATTGGAGAACATCAAGAAATGTGAGATTTATTTGTCAGCTGAATTGATTAACATTTATCTGAAAGGAAAGGTCAAATAAACAATGTGATTGATAAAGGGTTTGTATTGTTCGAAGGTGTGGATCGCACATTTTAGTCCATTCCATATTACTGTAATAGAATTAGAATGTGAAGGCGAGCCCGTATTCATTTACTAGATACAATACAAGTCCTACGTGACAAAGAACTTGGAAAAACGTTCGCACTTATCGAATTTTTCATTAAGTAATTGTGTTATTAGATTGTGAACAAATAGTCTATGCAATGTATGGACAATACCGACAAACTGTAATAAAATGAGATTGTTGTGTAATAACAAAAATCACCATGTCTAAGTGTAAGTTACCTATATAATATTTAATTATAAGTACTTTTAATTGTAATGTCTAGAAACTCATTGACCAATTTTTAGTCGTAGCCAAACTATTGCATCGGTTTTGTGGGGCATAGATTATGAAGCTTAAAACCTTTGTGATATAAAGAATAATAAAATAAATCACAATTCCCCCCTCGTGTTATGTGTTTTCTATTGTCTCGGCATTCAAGCGGTTAAGGAATCAATTAAAAATCATTGCCTCGCTGGCCGAGTGGTCGCAAGTGCGACTGCCGGGCAGGGGGTCTCGGGTTCGATTCCCGGGTCGGGCAATGTATGGGTTTTAAAAAAAATCTCAGTAGTAGCACGGAGTCTAGAATTGTACCCGGTATATGGCAATAGGCTCACCCCCTATTACATGGGACTCATAACATAACAAGTGAAAAGTGGATGTTACATTGTACAGTGGCATAATGTGCACCTCTGCCTACCCCTTCGGGGATAAAAGGCGTGGTGTTATGTAAAAATCAGTCGTACCAACAAAGTAGTTGTTGTAGTATGTTCTTTTAAAATTAATGACCATTGACTAATCTATTCTAACAAGCTTTTCTCTAATGAAAAGTTGGAAAACCAAAACAGCAAAGGTGTTTCGTAATCGTAGCCTCAATAAAAACATCATGGCGATGAATGTGTCACGTGACCCAATAACTCTATTAATACCTAACTAAACAACGTGTTTTATTCGTTCATATCATTTGTTAATGTTCGTATTTTCGTGTCATCTCGTGTTTTGTGGGTTTTAAATAGGTAACTGTTTAGTATGTTAGTATTAACTCATTATTTTGTTTTAAAAACTTGAAGGGGCGTGCAAATTTTAATTTTCATTATGAATCCTATGGCTAAACTAAAGAGACATGAGAATGGTATGTAAATTAGGTGTTTTTTATACCAAACTAGCTGACCCGGCAAACTTCGTACAATAACTAAAAATCGCGGGTTACTCATGTGAATATACTGAGAAAGTAGAGCTCTACTAGTTTCGAACCACAGAGGGGTTCTTCCTCACGAGCAACATGCGCGGTCGCGGCGATATCGCGCAGCCTACTGGTGAGTAGCCCGCGACTTTTAGTTAATTTAGTATGTCTCACGATAGTTATTATAAAAACTTCGTACAGGCTAAAAATTTATTTCTCATCCTTTTAGACCATCCACGAACATTCCTATACCAAAATTAAGCAAAATCTTTTCAGCCATTCTCGAATTTTACCGAAACTGACGAACGGAAATTCATTTTTATTTATATTGATAACAAAGACACCTGGACCAGCGTGGTCTAATAAACCTGATGCTTCCAAACTGGATATTTAGTGCGCTTGACAAGCGAGGGTAATATGCCAAAGCCCTATTTCATAAAGGAAGGACAAAGTGCACCAGTCGATCTCACTGGCTGTTGATATTGATGATAAGAAATAAATATTTTGGTACGTGAATTTCCTAAAGACTTTTCAAAACAGCACAAAGTACTAGAGGCAGCTTTAAGTCCGTGTAGGTAGTGCTTATCTCGCCTCAATCCTTGTTGCACCCATAAACCGGGCTGACCATCAATTTTACGAGACACTTCCACAACGAGATACGCCCGCCATTTGCTATAAAACACGTGATATTGTACATTGTCAACTTTGTGAGACAAAGACTTTTGGAATATGGGCTTTTGGGTATGTAATGTATGCGGCTAAACCCGTATTGTTCGTATAAACTATAAAAGATACATACATTGCTGTAAATATAATCTTACATACAATCCCTGAAAATCCCCGTTTTTCCAGTTATGTTACGCGTTGATCCAACGCATATCAATGTTTACAAAAAAAACATCCAATTGCTGTATATCGAGCACAGTTTGAGACTCAGACTCGAATCCCCAATCAGTCCCTCGCTCGCATTCTTTATCCCATAAAACAAAAAATCTCTAAAGTTATAAACAGCTAAAGAAAAAGTCAAATTTGGCGCGGTGGTTGGACAACTGACTGCCGCGCAACGTGTCGCGGGTTCGATTCCTGCATGGAACAATTCTTTGTGTGCTCCACAGATTGTTGTTCCGGGTCTGGGTGTCATGTGTATGTGAACTTATATGTTTGTAAACGCACCCACGACACAGGAGAAAAACCTAGTGTGGGGCAACGTTCTTTTAAAAAAAAATATTTCAATTCCATATAACAAACTGACAGCGAGCAACTATCAATCTAATTGCACTATAAACAGGCTAATAAATCTACCTAAAATGCTAATCAGAATACATTTTTATCCGAACTTAAAGCTATTTTAAATATTCATATAGCACAATCGCCGTGAAATAATTAATAGCCCTAGCAAAAACACATTGGATCTTTCAACACAGCACTAAGAATCTATGTTAATGAAAATGTGAACGTTTTTATGTATGTATGTCGGTTTGTACGTCAATTATTTCATCACGCAAAACCGCAAAATAATTGAATGAAATAATATCTTGGATAGATTATTGTAATCTGGTATAGCATAGAGGATGTTTTGTAGGTACTTGAGTTCTGTTGCTAGAGTCAAGATCTTGCCAGACAATCTTACTGGTTTTTTTTTTAAGGGGGAAAATCATCGAATGACTGCTCCCGCCTGGGTGAGGCGGGAGGGAGTGTCAGACTCATACTGACTAAAAACCACCCCGTTCCTTCTCCTGCACGTCGAGCCGGAGCCTCGGTTACCCGTTAGGTTCTCCGCGACTCCGAATCGGCATCGGCTCTGTTGGGCCCCATCTGTGGTGGTCTGATGGCTCTTTGAGGCGCGCGCGGAACGCGACGCGCCGTACGCTCGGGTCTGTTTCTGGTCGGACGGGGAGCCACCCATGCTCGCCGTCCGCAGGCCCGCGCTTACGGTGGCCGGAGATCGTCCCACGATCCCCGACGCCCGGTGTGTCCTTCGCGATGGCTGGGTTGCGAGGAGGCAGCGCTTCGCTGCCTTACGCGTCCCGCCTCCTCCTTACCTAGCATGACTGCTTCGCAAAAGGAGGAGACGGCATCCCAGTCCCCCTCGCTCCGCATCATGGCCTGCACTAGGCCCGGACGCGAGAGGTCGCCATCGCCGATCACTTCCCTGAGGGCACGGCGGTGCTCAGCCCACGCAGGGCATTCTCCCACTGTGTGTTCCACCGTGTCCTCAGGGCGGTCCTCGCAGTGATGACACCCGGGCGTTTCCTCCCGCCCCATCAGACACAGGTACCTCCCGAAACTTCCATATCCGGTGAGTACCTGCATCAGGCGGTAGGTGAGGACGCCGTAGCGTCTCTCAAG